TTATTATTCCTATTTTTGTACTTTCATACTTTTTACTCATATGTAAGGAAGAATTTTTTTTAAAAGTAATTATCATTGTATTCCCTTGTCGTATTTACAAGAGTTTTAGCGGTGCCAAATTTTTCTAGAACGGATCAATTTATTCTCGTCCTGCATTCACAATGATTGGTACAAAATAAAATTTTCGATTAAAACTAGTTACAAGTGTAATTAGTATCAGAAGTCTTCTAAATTTGGATTATTTGATTAATTTGAACAGAGAAACAATTTCATTTGATTGATGATTATAATATAATATAATATGAATTGATTTTAGATATAAAGAATTTTTCAAATACTTTAACTAGTTAGACTATTAATAAATTAACCAATTAATTTGGCGAGTGAGATGTTCTGTCACAACCAATGTATTAGTTCAACATATCTCTAGGCATTATCAATTTGTTAGTTTGGTTGGCTAAACTATTTTTCACGTTCACACACATGGATATAATAATTTTCAAAGTAAGATTATTTATCAAATTGGCCATATAAATTAATTAGAACATTATTACAATTACTAGCAACTTAGCATTTTAAGTAATTTAATTTAATTTTTCAACATAGTTATTTTTTCTACATATTAGTACTCTACTTTAGTTCACATCCTTAAAATATTTAAACTAGCATAAATATTATAAAAATTACATAAATTAAATAATAGAACATTTCTATTAAAATATTTCTAGAAAATATTTTACTTTTAGAAAAGTAAAATTGAAACAAAAATGGAACAAAAACTCCAATTATATAAGAAATCTTCTTAAAGCTTGCCACTTTAGAGAGAGGAGAAGAGAGAGAAGTGATTTGGTTGATGATGTTGAGGAGGCTTGGGGCGCCATATGTATTGGCTTGGGAAGACCAAGGCGGGGGCAATTGGGTCACTCCAGACGGGCCTGGGCCCAAAATCGACATATTTCTTGAATGTTCACCATTTTTGTTCAACTTCTTGTTCCTTCAAGACTCGATTCTATATATTTTCAACTTGTTAACTTCTGTTTGAATCATTTTTCTTCTCATCCGATCTTGGAATGCTTGGAATTTCGAACAATCTTTTTATTAACATTTTTGAGAAAAGTGCACGTTTACCCTCAAATTCTTTGAAAGTTGCACGGTTCACCCCCGAACATTAAAAAGTGCACCAAATACTCCTGAATTCTTTAGTAATTGCACGCTTTACCCTTGAATAATAAAAATTGCACCAAATATCCCTAAACTCTCCAAAAATTGTACTGTTTACTCCTGAACATTTAAATAAACACGACAATTTTGGGAAAATGTACTTTGGAAAAATCACAAGGGTCAGATGAATCATATTCGCAATTGTTGTGCGTGGAAGCAACGCACTCCCAATCTAATAGTTTAGGACCAACGATGCAACGATTTAATTTGTTCAAGGTTAATTTTTTAGTATGCAGAGGTAAATCGTGCAGTTTTCAGGGAGTTCGAGGGTAAACGGTGCAATTTTTATAGTTCAGGGGTAAAACATGCAATTTCTAAAGAGTACGGGGTAAACAATGCACTTTACTCTAACATTTTTTTATAAACATATAATTTTAGAATAAAACTTATTTGAATACCTTGATATCATGCTTTCCTTGTTCCTTTAAGAATGTACTTTTTTGTACCTATATATACCATATTGTATCGATTATAATGGAAGAGAGAATATTTTCCCAAAGATTGTTTCCCGTAACATGGAATCAGAGCCATTCTAAAACCCTAAGAACGTAACAAACGTCGCCGTTATGTCGTCGCGATGACACCACACGAAACCCTTGCAAAGAAACATGACGATGAACATGACGACGACATACAACGACGATGTCGTATATCCCCGTATGATCTTTCACCTAGTGACAATCTGGGTATGCTTCTTACTAAGGTTGTTCTGAAAGGATAAAACTATGATGAATGGTCCAAATCCTTGCCCCTTGACTTACGTGCTCACAGTAAATTTGGATTCCCCGACAGAACCATTCCTGAACCATGCGTAGACCCTGAAGACTATGAAGATTGGTGGACGAATCACTCTTTATTGATATTGTGGATTCGTAATACAAACAAACCAATGTTACATTCTATGATTTCACATTGAGAGCTTACCTCAGTCATACAAGAAGAGCTCAAGGCATGCTTCTCAGTAGTGAACGGTCCTCGTAGCCTACAATTGAAATGTGATTTGGCCAAACGTAAAGAAAAAGGCCTCTCCAACATGGCTTATTATGGAAAGATTGAGAAACTATGAGATGACCTCACCAATGTAAACAGATTCCCAGACTGTGGATTGTGCACAAAGCGTTCTCCCAATTTTGAAGCAGCCATGGAAAAGAAAAAAGAAGACGAGAGGGCTCATCAATTTTGATGGGGCTCGACAAAGGGCTTTATGGATCGATTCGGTCGAACCTTTTGGCTCAAAAGCCTTTACAATTTGTGAATCACATTTACAATATTTTGATTCAGAAAGAAACATCTCGTGCCTCAGTTAAAAATATTAGGGTTAATGATGCCAATTATGTTGTTTTCTCGGTTCACGCTAGACAAAATGATAAGGATGCAATTTGTAGCAAAAAGTGAGGTCACCGTATTGATTCATATTTTAAGTTGCATTGATTTCACAAATAGTGGCCTCGTGAAAGTGGAGGATGAACGGTCACCATATTGATTCATGTTTTAAGCTGCACTGATTTCACAAATGGTGGCCTCATGAAAGTGGAGGACGAATAGTGGGCACTACCGTATCAAGTCGGAATACAAGTTGATTTTTAGGGGTGATTGCATTCAAACCGCTGCATATCTTATTAATTGGAAACCATTGTCTCTTCTAGGGGGTGGGGGTTTGCACCATACACCAAATTGTATGGTAAAATATCTCACTTGACTCATATTTGTGTCTTTGGTTATAAGGCTTATGTTCATCATGATAGTGCGTGACAAATTTGCATAACAGAATTTACTGGGTACTTTTTTAAATACCACATGGGAAATTTGATGGAGAGTGTTCTTTGTAGACCATGAAGAAAATAGTCAGGTCTAGGAACATTATTGTCTCTAAAGATGTTTTTTCGTATCTCACTTCTACGGACGAATCAAATGGTGAACATGCAATTTCTTTCAGCGCCCAATGCATCCGAAGAGGAAGATGACATCATGGAGTCGGTTGCTATCTCTTCCAGCCCAACGGCGATAGACAAATCGCCGGTCATAGTGTCCAAAGAGGACTCGACTAAGGATCCATATATCCACGGACGATGATGGTATGCCCACAATGACCGAAGCCTCATCTTCTGATACTTCCCCTTATCATTGTAGCTCGGTCATGGACGTACAGTAGCCCACCTGTGGTTACCCATAACTTTGGCCAAGGAAGAAGAGAGCGTATACCGAGCTCTCAATTGAAGGATTACATGACGTACGATGCTACATGTTCGTCATGTAAGTATCCCCTCAACATATTAATTACATATGTCAGATTGTTTTTACAACTCAAGTGCTACCTGATGGCTATAAACTCTGAAGTTGAACCAAAGACTTTCCGTGAGGCCATGAAATCTCCAGCGTGGAAGCAGGCTATGCAAGAAGAAATCGATGCTCTAAAAAAATGGAACTTGGATGCTTGTGCCAGCTCCAGCTCACAAGCATGCCTTGCCACCTTGGGGAGCAAACTGGTTTACAAAATCAATCTCAAATCCGATGGTAGTGTGGAGCATTACAAAGCTCGTCTTATGGTGTTTAGTAATCAAGTTGAAGAATTGGGTTTTAATGAAACGTTTGCTCTAGTAGTGAACTCACTATTATACGCACACTTGAAGTTGGAGCCCTGATTTTGGTTTGTTAAACTCTCAACTACTTTTGAAGAAAAATGGTTTCAAACATTCTATCTTTAATTATTTTTTTTCGATACAACAAGGAAGAAGTGTTGTGTAACTGCTTGTTTATGTGGATGATCTGATGATTACAGGGAAGGATACAAATAAGATTCTTCAGTTTTAGGCTTACTTATCTGAAATTTTTCACATGAAGGATTTAGGACATCTAAATTTTTTTTTGGGAATCGAAGTTGCGCGTACTCCGTCTGGTATTTTCTTATGTCAACAAAAATATGGTCTGGATATTATTTCAAAGGCAGGTTTACTTAGAGCACGACCCCTGAGTGTCCGCTTGAACCAAACCATCGATTGGTTGTCACTACCACTCCATTACTTGTGGGTCCAGCGAAATATAGATGTTTGGTTGGTCATCTGGTCTATTTTTCTATTACTCGTCGTGAGTTATCATATCTAGCCCATACTCTTGCACAACTTTTGAAGAAGCCACTTGAAGAGCATTGGACGGAAGCTTTTAGGGTGGTACTTTACTTGAAGGGTCAACCAGGGCAAAATTTTTTCTTATCCTCCACCAATACTATGCAGTTAACATTTTGGTGTGTCTACTAACCCAACGATCCCTGACTTTTGGTTTGTTCAACTTGGTGATTCTTTTGTCTCTCAAAAAATGAAAAAACAAACCACACTGGAAAGTTCTTCTGTAGAGGCTGAATATAGGGCTCTCGCTGCTATCACTTGTGAGTTAAAAGTGGTTCAAAGGGTTTCTTATTGGTTCTCTTGGGATTGTTCATTTGGCTCCTATGCTCATTAGATGTGATAGTGCAACTGCTCTTCGTATGGCTGCGAATCCCGTGTTTCACGGCGCTCGAAACACATTTAAGTTGACTGTCACTTTGTTAGTGATGAGATTCTATGAGGGGTCATTCGCACTTACCACGTATTCACCATAGATGCACTGGCAGATATGCATACCAAGGCACTGGGCAGGCACAACTCGAAAAGGTAAGTGATTTTTTTGTTATTATTATTATTGCCTTGTACATGGTGGTTTTCTAAATCTCTTAGTTTCCTTGTTCCTTTGTGATTGTACTATTGTACCTATACATACCAATATAACATATTGTATCAAGAATAATGGAAGAGAGAATATTTTCCCAAAGATTGTTTCTCGTAACACTAGTGCATAGCCTTTTTAGCGTCTTGAATGAGTTTGTTGGCTTGCGAATTGTATAGGTACTCAACTATTTTGGACGAGTAATTTAGTACCAACATCGTCTAGGGGAGTTCTTTCACCCAAATTGAGAGATGAGCAAGGGCCTCAAACGACCTCCTCTAGGAGATGACATCGGACCCCACAATCGTTGCAATGCCACATACCGTTACTCTTCTTCCACTCGTGTCAAATTTAGCTAGATCAGATGTGAGGTCCAAACTTGCATCACGTGACATCTATTTTAAAACAGATAGAGTACGAGGATGTTTTTATGTAACCCAATTTACTGAAATTAGTCCGAATTTACATTTCCCGCGTCAACAAATTTACTACTCTCCGATATCATTCACCCAAAATTTTACCATCCCCTACTTTATGTCAATTTTAATAAAGCTAGAATCCATGTTCCTTTATATGTTATTATATATATATATATATATATATATATATATATATATATATATATATATATATATATATATATATATATATATATATATATATATATATATCAAAAGCCCACATTTCTAACTTTACTCACACACTATATATATGGATACATGTCGAACACCATTCACCACAATCTATCCTACATTTACATTCTCATTACCTCACCCCA